GCTAATTATTCTATCTAATCCCTTAATATTATCTCTGGACATTTTATACATAAATATGTTATTTCATAAGCCACATTTCAAAATCACTAGAATGTTAAGCTTAAATCAATGCTAAATACATCCAGAGAGTGAAAGTGTCTTGAAGGTGGAAGTCATGATTCTAACATGGGGGATATCTAAGAATAATTTAGAGAATTCAGTTTTCAATAAATGAATGGATTATGAATACACATGACAAAAATGAATCTCAAAATAATTATGCAGCGTGAAAGTGGCCACACCCCAAAGACTATATATTGATTATTTCAGTTTAGATGACTCTAGAAAGCATTAGCTGTAGTGACAGAAGATGGATCACTTGCTGCCTGGGGTTTGTGTGGCACTGAGTAGGCTACAGTGACCATGAGACATGAGAAAACTTTTGAGGGAGATGGACATACAGTGTTGACTATGGTATTGGTCTCTGGAACGCATATTAAAACTTATCAATGCTAAACCTTAATATGTGCAGGTGATTACATGGACCATATTTCAATAAAGTCTTTAAAATAGGAATAGCCTTCCAATTGGCATTTTACATAGAACCTCTGATTTCATGAACAAATTTCTGACATGAAGCACGATATGACTGTTTGGGAGACAAAACCAGCGATTTCCCCACACTGACTCCCAGGCCTTAGAGTGGAGGCTGGGGTGAGACTCTGGGCTACGACAGGAATGCTGCCTTAGTTCCTAAAGATGCTGGGTATAGTAAAAGTGCTAAAATAGTACTGGGGTCCAAATTTTGTAGATACCCAGACGGGCCCTGAGCTCCCTAGCTAAGGACAACTGCTTTCCAAGCACATTCAGTCGTCTGCCTCTAGCAGGTCAGCAGCAGTGAACAACTGAGAACCCACAGACTGCATGTTTTGCCAACAGAGCCCTCTGCAGGCTCAAATTCCAAAGTGAGCAATTCGTCCCTGTGACCGAATGAGACCAGAGAGGTCTGAAGATTCCCAGGTTCTGAAAACTCTGTTACCTGCTTTCCCTTTAAGGAGGCCGGCTGTAGCCTTCCCTGCCTCCTTAGGGCCTCGTGGGCCGCCTTCTCCATGTTCCATGCCAGCCTGGGTTTTCAAGACAGCGCGAGCCCTAGGCTGCCGCGGCGACGGAACCTGCACCGCGCGCAAGTTCCCAGTAGAGGACGCGCCAAGCATCTCGTGCTTCAGTCCATTGTAGCCTCCTGGAGGACCTTCTTCCCTTCCCCTGCTTGTACAGCAAGTACTTTACCATCTGAGCCATCTCCCTAGCCCTGTGTCTCTTTTTCATAGTAGCTTAGCTAAATGAACTAGTGAAATGTTCAAAACTGACATGTCTATTTGCTTTTCTAAGAGCTGGGTTAAATGGCAACTCCTATTATAACCTTCCTATTGCTCAGACTAAAATCTCGGAAGGCTTTCCAGATCCCGTGCACAGGATGCTTCCGATGCATAGGGTGGCCCATGTTTTGTTCTAAACCGCTAATATCTTCCCACAAAAGACCACTATATCTGTAAGTTAAAAGTTGAATTTACTATCAAGGTTGGGAGGAATACTCTCCAAGGGGAGTTAGGGGCATCTCAGAAACAATGCTGGAAAGAACCTAGGTTAGGGGAGATAGCTTGGTCAGTAAAGAGCTTTCCACAAAAGCATGAGGACTTGAGTTTGAATCTCCAGCACCCATGCAAAAAGTCAGCTATGGGAGTGCATACCTGTAATCCCAGCTCTGGGCAAACAGAGACGAGAGGATTCCTAGGGCTGGCTGGACAGCCAGTCTAGCTGAATTCATGAGCTCTAGGTTCTGTGAGAGAGCCTAACTCAGAAAATAAGGTGGGGAGTGATGGGGGAAGACACCTGATGTTGACCTCTGGCTTCTACACACAAGCATGCACATATGCACGTGTACCTGTATACACACATACACACATGACATACAGACACAAACACACACATACAGACACAGACATAGACACATACACACATAGACACACAGACACAGACACACACACAGACACACACACACACAGACACACATAGACACACACACACACAGACGCACAGACACAGACACACACACAGACACACACACACACAGACACACACACACACACACACACACACACACACACACACACACACACACCATAGAACATAGTCTTTGAAAAGAAGGAATGGTGGGCCTGGAGAGATGGCTCAGCAGTTAAGAGCACTGACTGCTCTTGCAGAGGACCCAGGTTCAATTCCCAGCACCCACAAGGCAGATTTCCAGTTCCAGGGGAATCCGAAGCCCTCTTCTGACCTCCGTGGCATTGCACAACATGGGTGCACTCACACACATGCAGGCAATACACTCATACATATAAAAAAATTCTTTTTTAAAAAGAGAAAAATAGGGACACTTCAGTAACTAGATAGCCCAGTAAATTCTATTTATAGGAAGTGGAGACAAACATAAAGATAGCCTTGTAATTAGTAGGGAAGTAGCTGTAACTCATTTTAGCCAGGAGGGAGGCATGTTTATAGATAGCAGAATGATCTTGTTCTTATGACAGTTGACTCTAGCCTGGTAGGGTTGCTTAGCTGCAATCTGCCCTTAGATTCTGAAGCATAGCACAGCTCTCCCCTGTTAACTTGTTTGTTAACTTGTCACCACCCCTTTCTTTAAAAAAGGGACCGCTCTGTTTCTGATATACAGAATGTTGACTTTGAATGTTTTTAATATTTCATGCTTAATTTCCACTAAATGTTTGGTGTTAAAAAGGCAGGTATCTCAGTGAACTAATGCTGCCATCTTGATCTGGGAACAGCAAATGGTCTTTTTGTGCCTTTCTCTGGGCTTGGTTTTCCTGACTCAAAATGACATTGCCAAGCCATTTTCCATCAACAGGGTCCTGGATTGTTACTGCTATTTATTTTCTAAACATTCTCAAGTTATCCTGGGTTATGCACAGTTTTTCTGACCCTTAAATACCAACATTAAAAACTGAAAAGTTGGGCTGGAGAGATGACTCAGTGGTTAACAGCATTGACTGCTTTTGCAGAGGACCCGGGTTTGATTCCTAAAACTCACATGGTGGCTAACGGCTGTCTGTAATTCCAGTTCCAAGGGATCCGACGCCCTCTTCTGACCTCTGCAGGCATTACACAACACAGGTGCCCTTACATACATACAGGCCATACATGCATACAAATAAAATAAAAATAATAAATTATTTTTTTAAATGAAGAACTGTGTAATGGGCATGATGATGCACGCCTTTAGTCCCAGCACTTGGGAGGCAGAAGCAGGCAGATCTCTGGGAGTTTGAGGCTTGCCTGGATGACGTAGTGAGTTCCAAGCCAGTCAGGGCTGCACAGTAAGACTATATCTAAAAAAGATCTGGGCATGGTAGTACATGCATGTAGTCATAGCTACTTAGGAGGCAGAAGCAGGAGAATGGCTTGAACCTAGGAGTTTGAGGCCAGCCTAGACAACATAGTGAGAATGCATCTCAAAAGGGAGGGGCTGGGGAGGGGAGCAAGATTCCAGCATAACTAGTTGGCTTTTTGCATAGTGTTTTGCCATACGTTAGCAAACCATACCAAGGACTTGCTGTAGGAAGAATAAACTTGAATCTAATGTAAGCTCCTCATCTAGGGGTAGTATATGATATGGCAGCTTCAATACCTAGATGGCCCTTTCTCTTTAGCCTTTGTGCCCATAATGTCAGAGCCATTGTTTTTTGCACAAGGCATGTCCTGAACTATGTTGAGCTGGCATAGCCTCAGAAGCATCAGTCAGTGTCTTGTTGATAAAAAAGAATCTAAGGCTATAGTATATGGTAGTCTTATCAGGTCACTAAGACATAGGTAGATCAAAGAGCAAGCAATCTGGGGACTTGGGATTACTGCATAAGAGGTTGAATCCTGAAACTCGGGCTAGATTCTGGGATATTAAAGAAGGACCCAGGAAGTCCCTCACTCACTAACTGTCGGCCTCATATTCTTCCAGACACAGAGACAAATACATGACTGCAGGGATAATTATTTATTGAACTCAGAGAAAATATTTATGTAGAGTTGTCGTGAGTGTGGAAAAAGAGGAGTTTAGAGAAAGCCTTTGATTCTTGGTGATTGGTGAGTCATCCTGGGCAATTAGGGAAGGTTCTGAAGATGTAGTGAAAACACTTTCACATGGGGCAGCAAAGAAAATTGGATCACGGAACTTGTCACAAGATGGGCTGTGGAATGGAAGAGATGATGCTGGAGCCCAGGTAAGAAGCATTCACTCAACACTGAGTAAGAAAAGGAGGATGAGAACATAAACGTTACTAAGCAAGGCTTGGACTGACTTGAGGAAATTCTATCATAGAAGAAATGTTTGGTAAGTTGAGGAATAACAACAAAAGCCATTTCTACTTTTTACTCAACATTTCTGCAGGAGGCTAAGACTTTCGCATACATTATCTGAATGAAGTCTCACAATAAATGTGAGAGAAGAGACAGATGAGGAAGCTCAGAGTCTATTCTCCAGACAGAAGGTCAGACAGTTCCATTTCCAGATGTGAAGTGAGGGATGTGCAGAGTTCAAAGGAAGACATTGTTACCATAAATCAGAGGGAGGTGGACCTCAGGCACAGATGCATATTTATCTGAGTGTCATACTCATACCCTGCTATATACTCTATTTCAGACTTCTAAATATTCATGACTTTTAGCACACTCTCAGCCACCGAGCCCTTTTACACACGCACGCAGCAACTGTGTAAGGTACACACCATTGTTTTCTTTTTCAATTGCTTACATCACTTGCTCAAAAATTCTTGGTAGGACTGGGTCCCAAATCCATGTCATTCAACTCCAGTGTCAAGACTTCCTCAGAGCTTCCTTAACAAATTATTTTTATTGTAATATATGGGCACACTGTTAATGTTTTTGGAAGGCCCTTGTCCCTGCCCACCCTCTCCTGACCCCCTACTCAAAATCGCGAACCTGGAAGCTTAGGCCTATGCTCCGTCTTGGGCCTGGAGACAGCGATCTGCAGAGGCAGAGCAAGAGCAAACTCAGACACCAGCCCTGCTTTATTTTCCCAAGAGAACCGAGAATATTCTCCAGCTTAGGACAAAGGGGCTGTCTACTGTTTCCTTGGCTTTCTCCCTTCCTTGGCATTGGATTTTGGAAGAGAAAACCAGACAAGTAATGACTTACCAGCTTTGGTCATGTCAAATATATTTTCCTTAGTAATTCCGTGTTGCTGGCATAACTGTCCAAACTCCTGCTTGATGCTTACATTAAGGTCTGTTTCACTGCCTGTGGAAAGGGTAACAGTGACACTAACTGCTGTGTTTTGTGTATTGGCCATCAAGATGAATGAGAGGACAGGGCTCCATAAGGATGGAAAAATGGATGCTAATTGGTCCAGGCAAGAAACCTTGGTATGGATTCCAACCTGTCCTGAATTTTGCATCCAAAGGAAATGTTTCTGGTACACTGAGAATTTCAGAATCTTCCCATCACTGAGTCTGAAGGATTACAAAGGTGAGCATATGTGTTCAGGGGGAGATATAGTCCAGGATCTGATTGGAAAAACCATATTGTATCTAGGTTCCTCCTCAAGAGCAGTGTGTACATGAAAATGCTTTACCATCAGCTGGAATGTTTTCCCATTGTTGACATTAATGAGATGGAATATAACATATCCATCATAGTTTGTTTCAAGTATAGTAAATGTATTATGTCCATCATCTGTAGAGGAAATAGAACACAGCTCAGAAATTCTTTGGTCCATTGTAAGTAATGAAAACCTTTTAACCTCTTCTACTCACATATAAAATAATGAAAATGCATATCATGAGTGTGAAGGAGTGAATATGTCTAATGGCTTCCTTTTGCATCTCTCTGGACTTCATGAAGTGACTTCTAAAAAAAGGGACACTGAGCCAGGCGGGGTGGTGCACACCTGTAGTCCCAGCACTTGGGAGGCAGAGGCAGGTGGATCGCTGTGAGTTCAAGGCCAGCCTGGTCTACATAGTGAGTTCCAGGCCAGCTGGGGCTACAGGGTGACCCTGTTTCAAAAAGACCCAAAAAAGTTTTTTTTTTTTAAAAAAAGGGACACTGGCAGATTGGCCACTAGTGAAAGTTAACTACAGTAGAAACTTCCCCTCTGTCATGCTTACCCACTTCCCTCAGTGTCTGTCAGTGATGTGTCTCCTTTTATAAGCCCACTGACATCAAACATCTGCTGCTACATCCTAAGCAATGTGCAGTGACTGTGACTAGGTGTACTCCAACAGATGGCAGGAAATGAGACGCTACCTTACCTTATTTTCCCCTGCTTTTTGTAGGATACTGGCTATTGGATGGCATCTATTATATTACATAAGTAATCATTGATCAAGAATTGATCATGATCTAGAAGAGGGCAGTGGACATAGTTCAGTATTAGAGAGTTTGTCTAGTATGTGCAAGGCTGAGTTCCATGCCTAGCAACACACACGCGCGTGCACACACACACACACACACACACACACACACAATAATGGAGGGCATTAGGGTTTAATAAGTTCCCATGGTTGGAAATTAAGACATATATACTTACAGTTAACATAATATTGAGCATCCTTTTCTGTTTTGTCACAAACTAAGAATAGTTCAGCACACTTCCTGTTTATACTGTAAAACAGGATAAGTTGATGCCCAAGAGATGTTGGTGCGTCTGGCTCCCTCACCCTCCACTCATAACTTGAGTTTTTTATTCCACTTGATTTAGGAATATTTTTTGTACAATTACCAAAAAGCTTTTATTTACATTATGTTGCTTCTATTGGCTACATTAGGAAAGACTTTATTGCCTTAGTTATTTTTAAAAAAATGGCATAACTGCTTCTTATCATGATTCTGACCACCCCCCCGCACACACACTGGTATTGTCACTACACCCAGCCACTTGTCTAAATCACTAGCTGAGTGGAGTGTTCACCATGCACTTCAAATATGTGCTTTATAAATGTTACCTGGTTTGGCTCTCACAAAAATCACAGGGAGAATTATTAACATACCCCTTTACATCAGGAAATGTAAAGGGATGGAATTTTCTGGGTTAACAACTAGTAAGAGAGATTTAATTCAAACTCCAGTGTCCTTAACCTGTGCTATCTTGTGCATTAGTTATGATTCTGAAATCTCTCTGCCCTTTACTTACCTTACTCCCAATACATTTATTCCTGTAACAAACTTGTCTCTGAATCTTTGACAAAAAAAATATTTTTATTTGTTGTTATCTGTATGCACCACATGTGTGCCTGTTGCTCTTGGAGGCCAGAAGATGGTCTCAGATCTCCTAGAACTGGAGCTAAGGATGGGTGTTAGCCTCCATGTGGGTGCTGAGAACCAAATCCAGGTCCTCTGCAAGAGCAGCCAGTGCTCTTAACCACTGAGTCATCTCTCCAGCCCTTGTCTCTGAACCTTGAAAAATAAACCCTGATTCATCAAATTCTGGGACAGTGTCAGCTGAGAAACCCTGGTTATGAATACAGAATCAGCATCATGTATGTGTGTATCTATACATGCACATGTCTGTGAGGGTCACAGATGTGTGTGTGTGTGTGTGTGTGTAGGCATGAGACCATGCCCAGGCTTCCATTTTCCCTTTCTCCACTGAAGAATGCCACATCTACGTGGTATGGAATTTGAAGGCTAAGGAAGAGTTCTCCAAAGCATTGATGTGTTCCACAAAAAATCCCATGTTGCCACCTTCCTCTTATCTTTTCCCTGTGGTCAGAGGCCAAGCCAATGGAATACCATTTTTAAAAATTTTTATTTATTTTTATTTTATGTGTATACATGTATTGCCTGCGTGTAGGTAAGTGCACCTGTGTCATGCAATGCCCATGGAGGTCAGAAGAGGCTGTGAGATCTCCTGGAACTGGAGTTACGGACAGTTGTTAGCTGCCATGTGGGTGCTGGGATTCAAACCCAGGTCTCCCTGGGAGTGAGTGGAGTTACAGACCGTTATTAGCTGCCATGTGGGTGCTGGGATTTGAACCTGGGTCTTCTGAAAGAACAACCAGTGTTCTTAACTGCTGATCCATCTCTCCAGCCCTGGAATACCATTTTCCTGACAGCTGCAATAAATAAGTAAAATGGTTATGTGAGAACACAGAAGGGACTCCATGTGGACATGTTTCTATTTGAACTCTAGCTTGTGGGCCAGGACATGAACATGATGCAAAGATGGGCTTAGAGCTTAGGTCAGTTGACACAACACTCAAGGCTCTGTCACTACCCCTCCAGTGAGAATGAAGGTCCCCAAGCATTGGCATATTTTAATAGTATACGCGGGTCTTAGTTCAAGGTCTTAAACCACTCCTTTTGTCTAATAAATTGAACTCCTATAACCATACCCTCAAAGGAAGTGCCTAGCTTCAGAATCCTTCAAACCACCCCCAAGGTCAGAATTTGCTATGCTCCTGACTCTACCTTTTTTGAATCAAAGTTCCTTCTTGAGACACCAGTTTTTCCTGTGCAGACACAGACTAGGGTCAGCCCCAGACTTAGCAACGGCATCTTCATCTTGGTAGGGTATAAAATTGTGCCTCTGGCAGCCGCCAAGAATGAATCTTTCCCCAACAGTAGCTACACTCCCCAGATCCTTTGCCTTTATATGCTTTCTGAGTCCAGCTTTTTGTCTATAGGTCTCCACCTTCCCACCGCCCCCTCTGTGAAATGGTATTTCCTTTATTGATGTGAGGCCAAGGACTGTTCCTGCCCTTTTGAAACCTGGCAATCTTATCTGTTATGTGTTTATTTAGCGACCTTACATTTCTCAAAACATATTCCCAAGAAAAATAGTGATTTCTTTAGGAAGCTGCCATTTAGAACCAAATTTAACTTCAGGTCTGCCTTGGAAGCAAGACAGGCAGGATTATATATGGGGATTAACTAGAAAATGAAATGTGTAGAAAAAAGGAAGTATCTCTAGCAAAGGCGCTGCATAGCAACCACAAGAAAGCATTAATAAACCGTATCTTTAAAGTATGGTGTCCAGAATTCAGTACATTTTAATTCCTTTTTCTTATTATCTGAACTCAACCACTACAGCCTGCCTCTCCTGACACCAAATAAATGTTTAATCACTACGTGTAACTCTCTATAGGCCCATAAGAGAACAGAACACCAGATCATCCTGTCCTTGAAGAGACGTCAGTGCAATTGGAGAAACGTTCCACATACAATGCTTAATTCAACAAGTGTATGAAATGGCCTGAGTGGTACCAAGTGCATATTATGGTAAGGGGGCGGGGGTTGTGATGCTGGAGAGGCAGCATCATGCAGAAAGTGCTTAAGGGCACAAGCTTCAGAGTTGTGTAAACCTGGCCTTCATTCTTGCCTCTGCCATTTTGAAGTCTTGGGCATAGATTTTAACCCCTTGGAAGCTTCATTATTCTTTTTTTTCATTTCTCTTAATGAAGATAATTATACCTGGCTAACAGATTGCTCTAGGGATTCACTGGGAAGTTGTACATAGAACTCTCAGTATGCTGTCTGGTGTTCAGTATGATGGAGTTAGAGGATGCTTCCAGGAAAAGTAAGACTAAGGTCTTAAATATTAGAGAGGGCACACTGTCTGTGGAAAGTATGTGGGAACATCATTCCAAATGTGATGAACATTGTGAGTTAGGAATTTGTACTACCAGATGACTTAAGAGCTGTGGCCATTTCTGTTTGTGTTAAAGAGTCGCCAAAATCCAGAAAGAAGCTAGTGTCATAAGAGGAAGTGGGCAGGAGGCAGCAACCTAAGAATTATAGTTTTATACATATGAGCCTACTTAAAAAGTCATCTTAGCCCTTCATGGTGTGTGATGATTCCTGGTTACTGTTCAACCAACATCCACCCATTAGATTGATTGATTGATTGATTGAGTTTACATGTATGGGTGTTTTGCCTGCATGTATGTAAGTGCACCACGTGTGTAATGCTTGTAGAGGCCAGAAGAGGGCATCAGATCCCTTGGACCTGGAGTTATAGATGATTGTTAGGCACAATGTGAGGCTAGGATCTGAACTTGGGCCCTCTGCAAGAACAGCCAGTGCTCTTAATCGCCAAGCCATCTCTCCAGCCCTTAGCCATTGGTATGTTGAAGTCAATGTAACTTTAGTCATAAGTTGTTGTGGGCTTTCCTGACCTTGAGGTGGAAGTATTGAACTTGACAAATGTTGGCAAAGGCTATGTACCTTATTTACACTGTTTGATTCTCTCTAAGAATAAATGGCAACCTGAGAGCCTCTAGGTTTTCAAAATGACCCCCATTCTTGGGCTGTAATACTGAGGGGAAAGTTACTCCCTGAACACATAATCTCTATCACGTGCCACCACCACTCCTAAATCTGCACGTGTGTGTATACATGTTTGTGTGTTTTCAGGTGCATGTGCATGTGCATGTGGAGGCCAGAGGTTAAGGCTGGCTGTCTTCAATTGCTTCTTCAACTTATTTTGGGAGGCAGGATTTCTCACTGAACTTAGAACCCACCAATTCAGCTAGACTGGCTGACCATCAAGCCTAGGATGGTCTATCTCTAGCTCCCCAGTACTAGGATTATAGGCATGTGCCACCATACCTGGCTTTTTATGTGATGCTTGGGATCTGAACTGAGGCCTTCATGCTTGCTTAGCAAGTATTTTACTAACTGACCCACCTCCCTAAGCTTCTAAATGTCCACTCTTATGGTGCCGTATTGTGACTATCTACTTCTGTTTGAATTCCCTAGAAGAAGGTAATCTTTCTGAAGGTGGAGTCATCTTTCTTGTTCACCTTTATATCTACCATAGTACCTAATACATAGGGTCACTTTTGGAACATTTGTCTACTAAATACTGTTTTTAAAGCACTAGGAATTCTTGTCATTAGAAGGAACTGTGTAGAAATTCCTTTGTAAGTAGGAATATTACTACCAGGTGGTGACTCCCCATTTATCTTATTGGACAGGGGTAGAGGGATAATAACTGTCTATAACTCCAGTTCCAGGGGACTCCAACACCTTCTTCTGCCCTCCTCAGGCATTGCACAACATGGGTGCACTTACACACATGTAGGCAATACACTCTTACACATAAGATAAAAAAATAAAATATTTTTTAAAAATTTAAAAAAGAAATAAGAATGAACAGTACTGTGGACCTTCAGAGGTGTCTGCTTGGCAGTTGCTACTAAAGAAACTGTATGCAGATTTCTTTAAAATGTGGCACTATGGGTGTATCTGCAAGAGTGATTAAATGAGGGATGACTAACACCTCTCCCCTGGTCTACAAGTGTTTGACAGTTGAATGGGTGAGTGGGAGACCTAGGGATTATTGCTTTTTCCCCCTCCTCCTCCTCCTCCTCCTCCTCCTCGTGTGTGTGTGTGTGTGTGTGTGTGTGTGTGTATTGTGTGTGTAGTGCTTGCATGTGTGCACAGGCTCATCCATGCTAATGTGTGCAGAAGCCAAAGGAAGACATCAGGCACTCTCCCCTATCACTCCCCTCATTCCTTCAAGACAGGGTCTCTCTCTGAACCTAGAGCTTGCTGATTTTTGACTAGGGTGGCTGGCCAGCAAGTTCCAGATCTCCTCCTGTCTCGACCCCCCCCCATTCCCGGTGCTGGAGTTAAAGGTGGATTTGGCCATCCTAACTTTTTACATGGGTGCAGGCAATCAAACCTTAAGCCTCTCTTGTCACAACAAGCCTCTTACACGCTGAGCCATCTTCTCAACACGTCATTTAAAAAATATTTTATTTACTATTTTTATTTTATGTATATGAGTGTATTGCTTACATGTAGGTAGATACCTATGGAGGTCAGAAGAAGGCATTGGATCCCCTGGAACTGGAATTATGAATGGTTGTCAGTTACCATGTAGGTGCTGGGAACAGAACCTGGGTCCTCTGCAAGAACAGCCAGTGGTATATGTATATGTTTATGTATATGTATATATATATATATATATATATATATATATATATATGGCTTGCTATATAATCTAGGGTAGCCTTGAATTCACTGTGTATCCCAGACTGGCCTTGAATTCATGACAATCCTCCTGCTTTGGCTTTTTGAGTGCTGGGATTACAGGCATGTACCACCATATCTGGCTCTGGATTAGTGCTTTTCTAGTAATGAATTAGAAGATACATGCAGAGCACAAGGCAAGAGCCATTCCCTTCCACTCTTAGCTTCAGATCAGGTACTTGGTCACTAACCTTTTCAGTTCTCCTCCATCCTCCACCTTACACTGCACATAGACCACATACAGACTCGGAAAATGGGGATAGTCCATGAGGCAGTTGAGAAGTGACTAGCAAAATAATGACCCTGTGTGTGGGTAAGGGGTTTATGAAGTCATGTATGACCAGGAAACAACCTATTTTTAACTAGCTAGCATGGTTGAAACTGACTGGATAATAGGAAACAGACTTAGTGACCTTGTTCCCAATCTCACTTTCAACTAGTTGAACAAATCACTCATTCAGCAGGCAAGAGGGACCATGCAAGTCATTTATATGATGCCAAGAAGAATGGTGAGAAACACAAGCTTATTTGATTCATGTGCCAGAGTGGAAATATTCCTTGGTCCTCAGCCCCCAGAGTGATTGTAGAACAAGTTGCTAAAACTGGATCAAAATGAGTTCTAAAACATCTGCTCATGTTAGTGACAGAGGATGCTTAGAGCTGCCAGCATCCAGCGGTGTGGCTCTGAAGAACCAGCAGGGCTCTCTGAAAACCAGATTCAGAGACAGACTTAGGGGCAAAAAGAGGCTGTGAAAAAAGCTGAGAAGAAGCAGGACCAGGGAAGGGAAGTTGGGCAGAAATGCTAGGCTTTCACCCCATACTTTCACTCAGTCACTGGGTGAGCACCCCAAGGAGACCAGCACCTCAACTCAAGGGCTGAACCAGTAAACAGCTGTGGCTGCTAACTAACCACATTCCTTTCACCATCAAATTTTTCTTGGAGGATGTAAGCTGTGCATCTTTACATCTGGCATTCCACTCTGTTACACTGAGAGCAGGGACCGCTGCTTATACACTAGCACATGCTCACAGTTTTAGTGTCTTGACAGGTATAAAGTTAGCTCTCAGTAAATATAAGTTGAATAAGTGAAAGTAGAAAAGCCCTGAGAGAGGGAGGATTAAGAATCAATCAGATGGGGCTGGAGAGTTGGCTCGGTGGTTAAGAGCACTGGCTGCTCTTCCAAAGGACCCAGATTCAGCTCCCTGCACCCACATTATGCCTAACCGCCATCTGCAACTTCAGTTTCAGTGGATCCGATGCCTTCTTTTGGCCTCTGCAGGCATTGCATGACACAGGTGCACTTAATGTACATGCAGGCAAAGCACATACTGCACATTAAATTAAATACATAGATACATAATTTTTTTTTAATTCCAAAAGAACTTGATAACCTTAACACAAACGAAAGAATGCATGAGATCCAATGGTGGGGGGGGGTGGGGGGAGGCCATGGCCAGCGGCGAAAGGTGAAATGTCCTGGCTGGCTGCCTTTTGCTCTGGCCCCTTCTTTATTCCTAACTTGTTT